TTGCTTCTTTTTCGTTCCCATTTTCCCTTCCCGTCTTTGCCCTCACCTTCCTATCATTCCATTCATTGTGTTTCCCTAAAAATCTTTGCCCTTCTTTTCCTGCATTCGTGGCCGTATGACTTTGTAGACTTGTGCCTTCGTAGTAATTATTAACTCCACCATTTAACTATATTTTGGTTGGACCAGTGACCATTTATCTCGGGGGTTCGTAAGAATTTCAGGGGGGATCTGTGAACGAGATCATGTTACCCCCCCCTTCTGCGATTAATAAATCACCAGTCCCTTACATGTAACTTTGTTTCTCAGATTGAAACGTCCGACCCTAAGGAACTGAACGAAGAGTTCTTACACGATCAACTTCACCCCCGTAAGGACTTGATCAGACAGAAGTTTGCCAAGCCTCCAAAACCAAGTGGAAGTCGCGGGCCAAGGAGAATCCACAAGGAAACGTCAAGCACGGAATAGTTTGTTCAGATTCCGATAGTTAAACGAATGTATTCGCGTTTCATATTTTGGTGAAAATTGCAAATTCTCGCGAATCAACCTAATGAAATTTATTATTTTCTATTATTTTGTTGTTGTTGTTGTTGTTCAGAGTTGCAAGAACTTACCTGTGCAAGAAATTCCATTGTTCTTTCGTAGAAAAATTAATCTTTCGTAATGTAGTATATGTCGCAGTTTGCTTTACCGTAATTTATATTCAGAGTGATTTGGAATCAGTCAGAATAGCTATTGCATTTAGAGAGGTGTTCAGCTGACGACAAGTATTGCCTTTCAGATTGCCCCCGTGAAGTGAATTTTTTAACGCTTTTTTTACACCTTAGCATTTATATTCGTATTCCTCACGCCGTTGTCTTTACATTTCTTGTGGTAATGAACTTTTTTGACAATCAAGAGCTTCTTAAGTTGATGACCATTTCCTTTATACTCGCGACTTTTATATTTGATTAACGGTTGAAAAGCCAGTCATTCGTAGGGGGAAATGTTGAGCTTGGATGTTGAAACTCGAATTTATGTTGGTGATGTAATTTTTTTCTACGGAATTATCAATGACATCTTTCTTGCTTAGAGTTCTAAGAACGTCCGTTTTTAGTTCCCAGACTCTTCCTCTCGTCCGTTAGGGTAACTAGCGTAGATCTGATCCGCAGATCAGAGAGCGTGTTCTTAAATTAGTGGAAATTGTTGAAGAATTCGTGTTCCTTTTCGTAGATAAGCTTAACTTTCTTGGAACTTGGATGAAGAATGTTATAATTTGTGTTGAAACTACCTCAGCTTCACTTATTCACTGCAATGAGCTGTAAATTGTTTGGAATTTTAGATGTTTTTGAAATAAAGTGAGCCCGTCTCGAGTAGATGTGTTTGGAGGTGATACATCGCCAAATGGCACAAATCGTGTTATCGCGGGGAAAACGCAAACTGGGATTAACGTTGGAGTGCGTGACTCGTTTTAGACAGAGGCTAGAATTTAACCCTTTGCAACCGCCGAAAAAAACATCGAACATTGCGCAAACGGGGAAAAACATACAATTAGCTGCAAAAGAGGAGAAATATATGGCCATTTGGGACCCAGAATTGATGGAATGCGTAACTCGTTGCCAATGTGGGAGAGCATCTGACGTGGAAAAGACATCTAACCTATTACAACTGAGCGAAACCATGGTTTCGTACTCAGTCGTTTCGTACCCAGCTCGGTCGTTTAAAACACCCAAATCAACAAGAGATAACAAATAGTGTTGAAGAAAATATTCGAATATCCTTCTAAATTAAGGTTTTTTTCCCACTTGAAATTTTGTGGGAATAGAAGTAGCCCGTTGGAAATGCTTGGAAATATTGAATTTTGGAATCATTTGCCTAAACTAACGCGGGAACGGAACGCGTGAAACCTTGAGAAAACGCGGGAAACATATTTATGCTAACGCAGAAAACCATATCAAAGGGCACATCAATCAATCAATCAATCAATCCGACTTTATTTATCGAGGTTAGCACGGGACAATTACAACACTGATAAACTTGAGACCCTCTTTCATCAGATATGTCCTTTGTATATACTAAAAATATCATATATATAGATATATATAAACGTGCCCTAAATTAATATTATGTAAAATATAATTGTAGTGATATAACATTGATAAAGATTAAAAAAGAGAAAAATTGAAAACAATTCAAAAAAGTGAAAGAAAATGATAATACTAATTTACTTTAACATGACGAATGTTCTTATTCATTCAGGCATTTTCGTAGATCTGAATTTGAATTTGACATTTTAATTTTGTCTTTAACACTTGTTGGAAACGAATTCCAAAGTTTTTCACTACTTACTGAGAACGTCCTGCCATCCTCAGTTTCCCTTTTAACTCTCTTACAGACAAGGTTCCCTTCTCCGTATCGACTTTTGCTATGATTTATATCTGAATTCTTTGTAATTAAACTGTTCATATATTGAGGGTAATCACCAACCAGGCACTTATAAATGAGTACACACTTATTTATTTTGCATGGAGGCCATCTTAATTAATAGAGAAGCTTAACACTATTGTCCCTGGTGTCTGCGTTTAATAGAACACGAGCTGCGCGTTTTGTTGCCTTAGGACTTTGGTGAGATTATCCACAGAACAGGAAGTTCATTAGAAGAGCCAGACATCATTACTTGCTTGATAAATGAGTTGTAGTATAAGATCCTTTGCTTGACATCGACAGCTAACACCTAATAAACAGTTCATAGGAGAAAATTCTGGATGGGTATAATATCTAGTTCAATGACCCTTATGAAAGTTTTGCAAGCAGTAAAGATATAAACAAACTTTTAAAAGTGCATTTCCGGTAGAAGTAAAAATCAGAAACGAGTGCGAGAAGAATGGCCTTCGTACGGAAAGCATGATTTTTCGACGAGTCGTAAGAAAACGAGGAGAAAAGATAGACATCTATAAATTCATGAGATAAACATTTTATTGAAACGTTCTTGCGAAGTTCCTCTTGTTCATTCAAGGCGTTTACTCGAATTAACAAATTTATTGGTAAGTTCATTGTTAATGAACCAAGAGGAAATAAAACATTTATAAGCATTCTCAAAAACATGTATAGTGTTTGGTTTGTTTGGTATTTTAGGAACGATGGATTGCAGTTATCAGGAGGTTTTTTTTATTTTGTTGTCTGTATAGCTTTTTTAGTTCACTATAGTAACTTTTTTTAATATTTTGCTTAAAAATTTAAGTCCATTTGATCATTTTTTCACGTGGAGTGTTAGCGAACAAATACAAAACCAAAGTAAAAAATGAGAGAAGTCGATCGCTCACAATTTCATGAGAGTCAAACTCACGAATCCACATTTTTAACTTCCTTTGAAAACGTTCGTGCGCCAAAAGAAAAACAAAACATCCAATTTGTTTTCTCCCCTCATTTAAATCGAGTCACGTTTTTCCCGTTGGGATATATATATATATATATTTTTGAGTATTCCTTTTCCTTAAATGTTATGTAAACGCCATGATCTAATGATGTCTTCGGTGGGTCTCATGCTTAGGAGCGATTTTTCAGGAAGCCACTAGAATATTCACCTTTTTTGTTGTCCTAAAAGCCTATTAAAAACGCATTTAAGCGGTGTGAATATGAGACGTTAAGTGTCCCTCAAGGAAGTTAAACAGCTGCAGCTTTAGATTTGCTCACGCTGTTTATCCCAAGGGCATGATCAGGGCACGATTTGTGACAACTGCACTTTCCGGATGAACATTTTTCATCGTGAAAAATGACCTGGATTCTGTCACAAGCTTTACTGGTGGCACCAGCAAAAGGGAGGAATTCGTTATTTGTCGTGCCTACTCAAACTTTTTAAAGGAAAATTAGCGTAAAACGTCTGCTACACTCCTGTTTGTTTTGAGTGACATGAATCAATCAAATCTCGCCTGGAGCATGCGCCACTCGCGGTTTTATGAAGCGGGAAGTCTAATGGTTTGTGATTAATGGCGCAAACTGAGTCTGGAGGAAAAAATAGTGTTCTCTTTTGGCAGCCATTCCCAGCAAGTTTCGAATTGTTCACATGTGAAGTTTGAAATGTAGTAAAACTAGAAAACGTTCTCGAGTTTTTAGAGATTGGTAACTAAGGTAAAATGATTGACACATTGCAGTTATAAGGCACCGTGGCCATGGTAACACGTTATTAACTATCCAAGATCATTAAATGGTAAATAACCCAATGCAATTTTCTTTTTAAATCAAAGGTTTTCCTTCGCACTAGTACAAATATTGTAGCTATAAATATGTCATATTTTAATCAAATTCTGCATTAGAGAAACAGCGGGTTACCATTTTTCTTGAGTCTATTTTTGGTTAACATTTATTTCGCCACTCCTTCAATTATTTTTTGGAATTCATTATCAATTGTATTTCGAGGAATTCATCTTATTGGAGTTACAGCTCATAGTAGGAGTTTAGCGGTTTCTGAGAGAAGTTTCTTTTCAATTTTGGGGTTACAAACTTGAAAAGTCACTGATGTAACCTCTTTTTTTTTGTCCTTTTTTCTTTTCGCTTGTGAACCCTAAGTCGACTCCTGGGAGACATGATTTGAAAGGAAACTTCTCCCCACAGTTTTTAAGGATTTTCAGCAGAGAAATGATGAGAATTTAGATACTTATCAGCGAGAGATGATATCTCGATGTAGCCTCATATTCTTTTAATTTATTTATCAGAAATTGTTCGGTATCCAGATAGGAGAATAAGCTTAGAGGGTCTCATTCGGATTAACCGTTGGCCTTAAGAAAGGGATAAATATTTTGCCGTTAGGCGAAAAATTTGACAAATTTCAAGCGTCACTTGCAAGAAGAGTTAACCGTCAAATTGTTCCTTTACGTCGCAAGGAAACAGAATTAACCGTTAGCTGTAAAATGGCCTAAATTGTAACCGTTAGCCGGTAAAAGCCATCACTCTTTCAAACCCTCTCTAAAGGCTTAACACAAAATCAAAAATAAAATACTGGTGGAAATAAATGCCCAGAAGTTTTTCACAGGAACGAATTTTGTTTGCAGCGTTTCGCTTTGAGATAAGGCATCTGCTTTATTTGCATACGTTGTGATTCAAATAAGTCGTTGGCTAAAATAACTTCGCTTAGTCTTGGATGTGTCAAAATACGATTTTCGAGCAAAGACAAAGACGAAAATTAAACCAAGAAAGCATTGCATATGGAGTTGCAAAATTGAAGCCCAATTTTCACACACTCTCATTTAAAAATATGGAAAAAAATGTATATAAAAACTTGTCCACAGATACAAGTTTAGTTACATGAGGTACTGTTACATAACAAAAAAGTATTTGAATGCATCAGATCAATTATACCATTAAGATAATTGGCAAGCCTGCCAAGAGTAATTCATCACAGTACAATACCATTTTTTTTTTCATTTTTTTTAAAATATATATTAAATCAGCGCCCACAAGGTAAAGTTCCTTAAAACGTGCCGATTTCATACTGGTGAAATTAAGTTATCATGTCATAGAAATTTCAGAGGTTGCGAAATTTTCATTAGGAGCACATTTCTTTTAAACTACTCTCGTAGTGAAAAGGCGAACACGAAAAGCAATCTAACTTCTTCAGAACGAAGGGCTTACAAAAGACATTAGGTTAAATGGTTTTCTACGATGTAGGTGAAAAAACCTCTGTTTCACCGGA